ATTAATTGAAATGGTAAAGTTGTTTGATCACCAAACCAAGTTGATGAAGAAGATACTATAGTTTGCTTATAGTTGAAGTGTAGAGTATGATGCTGTCCATGTAAAACATTGAATACATGAAACTCTTATTGTTATTTCAGCCTTTAACTCTTCCTTCATAAATAGACTTTTGTCATAGACTAGTTTTGAAGTTTTCTAAGATCTCTAATGTTTAAGTCACTCATCCAAAATCTTGTTGTTTTCTAAAATGTACAATTTTCATGTTTTGGCATTTCAATATTTGATTTTTCATATTCTTATCGATAATTTAAATTTGAACCAAAGCTTCATGACTCCATAGGGAATGATTTGGTACCTATGTCAACTCAAGATCATCAAATTTATTTCACTTATCTGACATGCCACCATTGACATAAACTTTTCAATAATAAAAATTTAATGTATTCTTGTTTCTCTTATTGATTTATACTCATAATAGCTTGAAGAATTTGTCTAATACCATGTGGAGCCTATGCAAACGATTCCTCTAATACATCTCTAGATTCTAATTCTTCAGCGGGTGAGTTTGAGTTTGCTCATTGGTTTACTTATGATTCTAGAGCTTAGTAATAAATAAAACAAATTGTAAAACATAATCACTAGCTCATTAAAAATATAATTTAGATAAAATATTCTAATTTCTCAAATGTGTCGATGCATAAGTCATATATAAATGCTTCAACATGTCATATTACCCTATAAACATATACTTAACAATTTATTTATTGATACTTCTTTAATTAATAAATATTTTTCTCAAACATTTATACTAAAGGAAATAACTTAAGCATAAGGCTAAAATCTTAGATTTAATCATTAGAGATGAAATCATAATAATTGAATAAACATAATATAAAGTTCGTTTAATATATTGAACGTTTAATTAACATAAGTTAGGCATATAAATCAAAACAGAAATCCATCATTTATTGATTTGAAATCTAAGATAATTAATTTTCAATAAATTTTCTTTGGTAATAATCAAAACTAAAGGTATTAACATATGAATGACATAGGTTCCAAAAGCTCTATGACATTTTAATGACAATGGCTTGCATATGAAAAGAACTAACCAAAACTAGTTACTTTTAAGCTTGCCTATAAAATGCTAGCCATTTTGCATTATTTTCAACAAACACTTGGTGATAATCAATAGGTTTCAAAAAGATGTTATGATCTTGAGAGGGAATGAATGAGGAACGATATACCCATTGATCAGATGATCCATTATTGATCTTCCACTTAATATTTTTTAACTAAATTCTAATTAATTAGACATGTTTTGATGTTTTCCCATTAATAGTGGTTAGCTTACCTCCTTCCTTACATCTATTTGTCACTCCTTTGACCACTATTCGTGATGAGCTGTGCTTGGGTTTCCAGGGGGTCTAGCATTAGGAATGGTCTTTGGCCTCATCTACAATGTTAGTAAACACTAGGCCTTTGAAGTAACATTCTCTTCTAGTCTTGTCTTACCCTCACTACCTTACATGCCAATGCATAAGTTAGATGTGCTGAAGCTGTAAGACTCTTGTGGACTTTTAAACTTGTTGAACACCACCTTTGTCAACCTTCTTAGAGACTATGTTTCTCTATTCACAGATCTTGACTTGATTCACCACTTGAGCTTTTTTTGTCATCAACTTTAAGTGTGGGATTATGTTTTATTCTAAAATGGATTCATTATTATTAATGTAATCATTTTTCTGGGGTCAATAGAGGGAACATCTACAACTTGGAAACTAAATGTAAACCTTTATTCATTCATGCATTGTCCTCATACAACTTGCAATATCATACAAGACACTAGTGGTGTATTATATTCGACAATCTAAAACCTTAATTATTGTGTCTTGAAGAAACAACCTTTATTATCACAAATGCCAATGATCAATGGTTTTATGGTCATACATAACAGTTGACAAATTATGGCTCTTTCATATCAAGGGTGAGGCCAGGATATTTATCTTCTATTTGTGAGGGTTATGGTATCAAATTAGCCCTTTTGAATGCCTTAAGTTTTACTCTAAAATTCATAAGCTGTGGTTTTTCTCTACCTCAAATTTGGGGGTTTCAAGATAGTTGGCACTAACCTTGATACTTCATAAACATCAGAATGTGTTTATGTGTTGCATAACGTAAGTTTCAATGCATATTATTTCAATCCACATTTGAACTAATTGGTTGTTTGAGTCAAATAAGAACATAGATCTTGGATTCTTTCCAAATTAGGCAACATTTATGTTGAAAACAAACCGTTCAAGATGGGATGTGAAAAACATCGAATCATATTGGTTAGGTATTAACTGAATTCAGGTGAAGTTAGGTATTAAACTCAGTAGAAGTATCAAACTTAGATTCAAGTGAATTCAGGTCATCCACTGAGATGATGATTAATAGTAGTGTTGAAGTCTATTCTAGACATTCATTGAAATAACATAAAAAACAAGGATAAAATAAATCGTCATCTTTGCTTAACAGCCACTCCTGATGCTCCACACTACCATCAATTGGTCTACGCCATTTCTAGATCATCCAACCACAAGTAGTTTCTAGTTGATGACACGTTGGAGATGTTAGAACTTGCACAACACAGGACAAAAGTCAATAGAAAACGCTGCAGGAACATAAGAAAACAAGAGAGAAGGGAGAAAATGCCCGCCTACAAGTTTCACCCTGGCGACAGTAAAACAACCAAACAAATTTAGAGCGAAATCCTATTTAACTGAAGTAAATATTCACATAAATGGATTCAGACAATTGCAAAGTGGGTGTCTTTGACTGAAAACATTGACAAGTTAAAGGAAAAACCAAAAATGAAATTGAAATGCACAAAATTGTAAAAGTGCGAACCTCAGGGCAATCTTCTTCTCGACAAGGATTTGTCCCACCTGTCGGAATGCTTTAGAACGTTTAACTGCCCGGGAAGGCAAATCACCCTAGGCCTAGTCTCTGTATGGCATTCCTCACTGCGGTGATGGATCCTTCCTCGAAGCCGGCTGCATGGATTGTATGGTTAAAGATTCCACGCGCCGCCACCACGACGTGAGGAAGGCATGGGAAGAGATGAAGTAGGAAGGTAACAAGGCCTGTCAAATCGCCTTGTCCCTTCATCGTCACTGTTTTCCCCTTCCCAACCCTACAGATAAGTTCACCGCTAGTAAAGGAATCCATCTTATGCGGCTTGCCGACCGATGTGATCGCAACTCCTAACGGTCGTTCAATGTGGAAGGGAGGCAAGGACTTCCTCGTCCTCTGTACCCGGACACTGATCCCACAAAATAATTTTATTTATTAATTGACCTATCAATTGGACTTTTTACTTCTCCCTCTCCAACGCTCATCTTTTGATATAGCCTTTAAAACTTGTATGGTTAGATTGTGAAAGATAATTAATTTTAAGTTAATGACCAAATATCTTCAATATTTTGATACTTGGTTATTGCTCACGCACCACGATCATGGTATTTGTTGATGATAATGCGCGGGTGACCAAACCTGAAAAGTTGAATTTTCTGAGTGGTTTCAAGTTAAGAAAGATATCCCAACCCTGCGTCACTCAAAGTTAACCGATTATATGTGAGATGAATTAACAGTTCAGCGGTCTTCTCTCTCTCTCTCTCTCCTCATAGTTATATATATGTACTGATGTACTGAGGAACGAAGACACCTCATGAGCGTGGGCTCGGTTCCTGATCCCCTCTCCCTCTCTCTCCCCCACCTCCCCTCCCTTATTGATGATCACTGTTGGGAGTGCGGCAACAGTAAGGACTTCCGCGCGGCGGGATGGATTCCACCCACGATCGCGGTTCTTTTACAGAGGCCACCGTCGACAAAGTCTCATCACAAATCCTGGAGATTCAACTGAGGCCTTTGTCACTTGGATGCCCGTAACCAGGAAGATGGGAGATCTTAGGTCTTGTCGTTATGGGACTTGGCCCTTGCAGATTCTCCCCCTTATCTCTAAGGCTGGAGGTTATCGTGGTCAACTGTTTCTTTTTGACCATATGGTTCTCGATCTTGTAAAAACCTAAGAGATGGCTTCCCGCCCACCAACGAAAGTGGACTGTAAATCACAGATAATGCGTAGAGCGAACGATATCATCGTCTTGAGCTACCCGCGAGCCGTGGAGTGCACGGTATGCGACCGGGACACCCCTGCATTTAAGGTTTGGCGATTCTCCAAGCATTTTCCTCGTGACGTACACGTTGATGATCGACGCCGTCGACCTAATAACGAGGCCTTCTACTCTCCTTCCAATGGGGTTTCTGCATTAGACTCGAGGACATTTCCGACCGAGGGAACCCTAACAGTCGCTTTCTCTAAACAGAAGCATGTCTTCTGGTCGTGCAGATATCACCGGATCTGGTCAGGGCAGGTGGTGACAGCGTTGTGATGTGACATTCAGCATCTCAGTAAGGAAAACCATAGATGGTTACAGGGTAACCGATGAAATCCGAGCGGCGGAAGCCCATGGGCAGATGCCATAATAGGGTCTTGTGGTGCTTCAGCGTCTTCGTCTTCCAGCTGCCATCAGAAAAAGGAAAAGGGCGAACTTTTCAGAACAATGATGGGCAATTATTCCATATTTTTGGATTCTATTTATTCCACACCCGTAATAGATTCAACAGACTCCGAAGACAGGCCTGCAATATCATCATACCCCGTGATGGAGTAGCAGAGAAGGCGACGGCTAGGCCGTAATTAGAGGAGTAAGGATAGAGGGCGAAAGACGTAGGTTGCGGGGGGAAGAAAGAGAGAGAGAGAGATCCTCCCCATCACCATCACGCAAAGCCTGAAGCAGATGGTAGTCCTGGCTGCTAGGCTGTAGCTCCCTCCAAACACCAACACTGGGCCCTTCTTGTTGGTCCTCAGGCTATTTAACGTCTACAGCTCTCTTCAGTTGTGCAGGAAGTCGCGAGTAGGGGAGGAGGTAAACGGCAAGGGGATGAGAGAAGCAATGGCAGTCTCGTCACTGCAGCCCATCCTTGTTCTCTCTCTTGTTACATTTACCATGGCCTTCGATGGTTTGGAAGTGGGTGCGACAGCAGATGTAGGGAAGTACACTCCCTTCGGTGTGCTCGTCAACACCACCAACGGCAGCCACACTGAAGATGTCGTCCTCGCTGAAACTGGCAGCGGCATTGGTGGCGGAGGTGGTGGTCGCGGCGGCGGCAGCGGAAGTGGCAGTGGCAGTGGCAGCGGCAGTGGCAGTGGCAACGGTGGCGGTGGTGGAGGGCGTGGCGGTGGCGGAGGAGGTGGTAGCGGCGGCGCTGGAAGTGGCAGCGGCAGCGGTAGCGGCAGCGGCAGTGGTGGTGGAGGGGGTGGCGGTGGCGGAGGCGGAGGAGGCGGGGGTGGAGCGAGTGGTGGAGGGTGCAAAAGCTGGTGGACGAGCTGGGGGTGGGGAACGGGGTGGGGATGGGGATGGGGCAACGGCAACGCCGGTGGCGGAGGGGGTGGCGGGGGCGGCGGGGGCGGCGGGGGCGGCGGGGGCGGCGGGGGCGGCGGGGGTGGGAGCAGCACCGGCGGTGCATGGGTAGGGGGTGGTGGCAGAAGCGGTGTCCGAAGCAGCGTCGGCGGGGGGTCCAGCAGAGGAAGCTTCATGATCGGGGAGTACGCGCGGTGCAGGACCCGAGGGCCATGCAGGCGCAGGAAGCTGATCTGCCCCCTGCATTGCCATGGCTCCTGCGTCTACGACTGCGAACAGAAGTGCGTCGCTCGCTGCAGGCGATCTTGACGGGGCCTTCTTCCCCTCCCGCAGGCCTCTCCTTCTTCCATGTCCTCTCAATCATCTCCGAAGGCATCATGCACGTAGTTACAGCTTAATCCTCGTGAAAATGCCACCTCCAGAAACCCATCTAGTTAAGGAAGCTCTCCCTTTTCTCCCTGGCACCAGAGACAATTCGTTCCATTCGGCGATCCCTTCCACGTGATCGAGCAAAACTGAACAGGATTCGGAAGGCGGTGGCGGGCGAGAGGGTCCAGAAATGGTTTTGGATTTACTTTCCTGCAAAATGCACACGTTCTTGAGAGAGACCGAGAGAGGGGGGGGAGCGTACTCCATAGATTGTGTAGACAAATTTCTTTCGTCGTTTTAGGACTTTCCTGCTGAGAGTTCTAGAGAGAGAGGGAGAGAGAGAGAGAGAGGAGAGGGAAGGAGGGAGAGAGAGAGAGAGAGAGAGAGAGAGGAGAGGAGAGAGAGAGAGAGAGAGAGAGAGAGAGAGAGAGGAGAGGGAGGGAGAGAGAGAGAGAGGAGAGGAGGAGGAGAGAGAGAGAGAGAGAGAGAGGAGAGGGAGGGAGAGAGAGAGAGAGAGGGAGGGAGGGAGAGAGAGAGAGAGAGAGAGGAGAGGGAGGGCGAGAGAGAGAGAGAGAGGAGAGAGAGGGAGGGAGGGAGAGGGAGAGAGAGAGAGAGAGAGAGAGAGAGAGGAGAGGAGGGCGAGAGAGAGAGAGAGAGAGAGGAGAGAGAGAGGAGAGGGAGGAGAGAGGAGAGAGAGAGAGAGAGAGAGAGAGAGTGAGAGGAGAGAGAGAGAGAGAGAGAGAGAGAGAGTGAGAGTGAGAGGAGAGGGAGGGAGAGAGGGAGAGAGGAGAGAGGAGAGAGAGAGAGAGGGAGAGAGAGTCTGTCTCACGTCCGACGCCGGGCCATGACGGAGGGCAGTGAAAAATGGAAGTGTTCGCTACGCGGCCCAGTTCTCATTTCCTGGGCCTACACCTGAACTTGGGCGTCCACCCATCACTGAAGACCGTGGTTGGTTCGGTCAACGTATCTGGGCCCGGCCCATTAGGCTCAAAAAAACCTGCACCACCGAAAAGGAAGAGGTCCCCCGGTCCTGGTCCCCAACCAAGCTAGGAATCCAATCATCCGTTGACCAGAAAATTGCTAAATTCGGCCGGAACAAGGGCCGTGGACTAAATCCAACGTCCAACCGCATCTCACCACATCAGCAGGAAAACAGATCACACCAAGGGGACATGGGCATACGCCTCTCCTCCCATTACTGGAAGATTCATCAGTCGCGCCTGTCGGCAGGTTCCATGGGGGGAAGAACCCAAGAACCCTGACGAGCCTGGCGATTATTGAGGGCAACATATCATATGATACAAACCGGGGAATACACGCTAATGATTGCTGCTGAGAAGAGAACCAAAGAAAGAATTGTGGTGGCTTCCAACGAAGAACAAAAGAATTGGTCACGGGGATTACAAGCCTGCGGAGACGAGCCCGTGCAAGGTGACGATCCCGACGACCGTGTTGTCCTCGTCGAGAACGGGCAGGAACTGGACGGGAGACGGCGGCGATTCCATCTTCTGCATAGCTTCGACGGCCATCGCGTCCATAGTGATTGTTCTTGGTTTCCTGATTACAGAGAAATCATGGAACAATCGAGCGATTGTCTAAAATGGTTCTTCTTTGGGCAGTTCCTTGAACAATCTGAGACTGTTTACGGTTCATTTCGAAGAACAGTTGATGCATAACTGCGGTGAAAAAAATATGCCACTTTGGAAAATTGGGTAACAGAATATGATGAGAAACACTGTGACAGCTTCTGTGTTCTAAATGTATTCATGGCAAATGAATGATGAATATGATGAGGCATCTTCCTCTACTTCCACATTGACATTAATATATATACATATATATGTATATATTCAAGGGATTCACCTGTTGCACATCTGACCCACAGTGAGGTTGAAGACCCGTTCGCCACAGGCCTTGAGTGTGCGCCTCAGATCACCATCTGTGAAAGTTCCAATCAGATGGTAGTCGTCGTCGATGACAAGCAGGCAACCGCAACCTTTACTGGTCAGCTCAACGAGTTGATCCATTATCAAATCTCCTTCTCTGCAGACTGGAAGGTCTGCCCTCTTCTTCATGACATCTTTTACCTGCACGCGTATGAATTCAAAGAATAAGAATCACCCTTGGTCAGGAGGTGAATTGGATTAGCCATGAGATTAAATTATTGAAATCAAGAACAAAAACAGAATCAGAAATAGTCGTGAGCAGCTCGGCCTGCAATCACACTCCGATTGAGGAATCAAAACACCACGGCCGTTCCATAGATTTGACTCCAAATCAGTTAACGAAGCTGATTAAAAAATGCGCACACTAGGGCATCGAATTTCAACATGTGGCCAACTACTCTGAGATCTCTTCCACTAGGCTATCAAGTTACAGGCCTGTCCAGCGTAGGAAGAAAAACTACATAAATCCAAGGAGTACTGTCGGGCCTCATTGCGTTGCAAAGCCGCAAGTTTAAGTTCATAATTAAGGTTCGATGGAAAAAATAAATATGCTAAAAAATAAAGGAAACGCTTTATTAAGTACGCAGAAGGGAACCCGCGTTCGTTTGTAATAAATCAAGCTTGAAACCCATGGCATCACTCCTCAAAGAGTCCAAGATACATTACCCTGCTGTATGTCGGCAAATAATTAGCTAGGACATGCAAGCACTCAATACACTGACGAGTCCAATAGACAACACCTACCAAGCTTCACCAGAGCTAATGCAGCATATCCGGGAGAGGAAGGTGCATACAGCTAATCAGGATGATTACTATCTGACCCAACTTACTGTTCGATGAAGTGCCAATACTTGTCGCATATATTCACAGACCGTGGACTAGGGAAACCTGGAAGAGTAGAACATCCTTCTACCAATTCAATGGAAATTATGATCAAACGAATGCAATGCAGGTCAAACAAGTGAGAATTAGAGAAGGAAAACAGGGTGGTGATAGAGGGGGCACGCGATTAAGAATTAAATCGGTGGGAGGTCGAGTTTTCCAGATCAGGTCACCTTGAATATGAGACTCTTCCCGATCCTGCCTGCCGGATGGTTAGAGGCGTACTCCTCCTTGCTCAGGTTCCTGGCGGCCATTAACGCCACGGCTACGGTATCACCAAACACCATTTGGACGGCCGCCGACGTGACAGGCGCGAGGTCGAACGGGCAAAGCTCCCGCTCCAGCGGCAAGTGTACATTCATGTCGCACGCGGCTGCAAGCGGGTTTCCTTCCACCGACGTCACCGACACCAGGTAAGCCCCCTTGGACCGGACGCAGGGCACCAGCCGTAGGAGCTCCTCGGAGGACCCCGATTTGGAGATGAGGATGACGACGTCCGCCGAGGAGACGACGCCGATGTCGCCATGGAGAGCATCGACGGGGGAGAGGTAGGCCGCGCGGACGAACCCCAGGGAGGCGAGCGTCTGCGAGAGCTTGCGGGCGACGAAGCCCGATTTCCCGACGCCGGAGAAGAAGATGGCCCCGGGGGCGTCGAGGAGGATCTGAGCAAAGGCCCGCGTCTGGGAGAGGTCGAGCTGATCGAAGAAGTGGTTCAGGTGGCGCCTCTGCGAGTCGAAGAGGCGACGGAGCTCTCCATCGTCGATCACGTTCCTCCCGGCGGGCGAGGAGGAGGACGGCGGCGCGGGGGCGACGGCGAGGGACTTGGCCGAGGTAGCAGGCCCCGGGAGGGATCCCATTCCTCCCTCTCCCCCGGGCCTTCAGCTCCGAGATCCAGGGGGAAGACGACGAAGAAAAAATCTGAGATCCGCAGTCAGGAGGTGGGGGAGCTCTCCATTTATACCCTCTCCACTTTATCAAGCACTCCCCCCATTGGCGGCGTTCAGAGGAGGAACATCGCCGCCCACTTGCATCATCACGAGGAGATCATTTAATCACTTAACGGTGATCACATTTTTTATAAAACACCCCCGCATTATCCCTAAACCCACGTATTCTCCGTAAACTCTCTCTTCTGGGAAATATGCTCTCGTACTATAAATAATCACCTGTATTATTACTTACTATTATTATTATTATTGTTATTATTATTTAATGCACCGCTCGGCAGTCGTCGAGCTGTCGGCCCTCTCTCTGTCTCGCTCTACGTCTCCATCCGGGATGCGGACGGACATGTTGGCTTAGTGACGTGCCGCCCTGTGCGGGGCCCAGGGAGAGATCTCCCACCGGCGGCCTCCACTGGCCGTTGGATCAGAGCTGGGAGTCACAGATGATTTTGTCGTCTTCCTCGCCTCCACGTGGCATCTCCTACGGGGAGAGGAGGTTCCCCCTCACGGATCCGAATGGGGATCGACGGCTGCTGGTTAGTGGATCGCGCATCAGGAGCCGTCCGTTTCGGTACGCGCCGGATACCGGAAAAGATAAATGGGTCAGATAATGGGCGGGATAATGGGCTCTTACTAACTTGAGCCTGGGCCTAGGCTTTTTATGTTGGTGGTCACTTCTCGAAATGGTTTCAACCGGCCCACTTGTTATTATTTTTATTCCCCCACCTGCTCTCTCTAAATCTCTCTATCTCTCTCTCTCTCCGTGTCTCGCACGTGTGCGTGTCATCGCTGGCGTAAGGCTTGTTGTCACGTGTGGGGTGGGGCCGGGGCAGAGAGTCAGCACCTGTGGGCAGAGCAGGGAAAGTTTCCGATAAAAGAAGAATCGGAATCATCCCCAGACGACCCGCCCGCGTGTGCGCTGTAAAAGAGGACTAGTCAAGCTGACCGCTCTGCAGAAACAGATCCTCTGCCCCGACCAGCCCACTTTCCGGATGCCTCCGACGTCACCACCTCTCTCTCTCTCTCTCTCTCTCTCACTAAATGCCGCCCCACCCACCTCGCCGGTCTCAGCTTTTCCGTTCCCCCGGTTCTCTCTCTCTCTCTCTCTCTCTATCTGTGTCTGTGAGTACACAGTAGATGGCGGAAAATTTGTCGAGAAAAGGACGGGGGCCCGGGGCGCAGAGGATCACGGGAGCTGGAGCGATCTGCCGGCGTTCTCGGGGAGTCCTCTCCTTTCATTGTCCCCTCCGGCGAGGCACTCCGGCGACGCCTCCGGCGAGTTAATGGAAGGAACCGACGAGGCAGGGCGTGAACAATATCCGCCATTGGGGGTGAGAGGGATTCTCTCTGAATGGCCGCGCACCCGATCAGCCGGACAATCTTGCACTACCATCCAATCCACTCGACCCTCCTACGTACCCATGCAGACACATAGATAGAGAGGTAAAGAGAGAGAAAGAGAGAGAGCAGCGCAGAGAGGTAGACGACGGATTCTTCTTATCCAGGAACATCTCCGGGATTTACATGCAGAGAGTTCCGGAGGGAGAAGCCAAAGGCCGCATACCTTCCGTCTCAGGCTCGGTGTTCTTGTCTGTTCTACGAAGAGATGGCATCACTCAGTTTCTCCTGTGCTGCCGCGTCCTTTTGGAAACGCCAGGCTCTGCGCCGCCACTCGTTACTCCGCCAAGCTGACCTGTGCTTCGTACGCACCGTAATAATGCCATGACTGACTCTTTCACCATGTACCCTTCGCCTCACCGCCTCTCTCTCTCTCTCTCTTGCTATCGATCTATATATTTATATCTGTGAAAAGGCAGACCGGTGGAGATCTAATACAGAGGAACTCAAGTGGATGCAGCCGCAGAGATTGGTGTGCGGCGTATTCCTTTAGTGAAGTCGACAAATTTACAGGGTCACCGGAACTTATATGGTGGGATTCAAGAAAAACGAGTAAGGTGCTCTAGCGCGATTTGAATCGTACAGTCTTCCATAAACAGTAATTTCCTGTGGGAAGGATCTACTCGTGGTGGGAATATACACCGAGAAACCCAAGCCATCGTACATAAAAGTCAAAGAATAGTAAATTTCAGAGAAAAGTCTACGATTTGATAACGTACAGAAAGAGGAGGCGGGGAGGTGATAATTCAGTTCCAGGTTTTGTAAATGTAAAACGATGAGAGGGAGAGAGGGAGAGAGAGAGAGGAAAGCACAGAAAAGAGACGATAAGAGATGGAAAAGAGAAGGGACATTGAGAAAGGAGACGAGAGGAGCCCATCCGCTTTTCATCTGACGAGACGTGAGCGGAGTCAAAGAGGCAACCACGAGTGCGCGTTTGTGAGGTGGCGACCGCCCTTTCGCCGTACTACGTACCGAGGCAGGAGCCCTAGGCTGCTGCCCCCGTGGAGGGAATACTCGCCGGAGCCGACAGGAAGCGGAGGGCCGCTGGGACTGGGGGGACGAGTTCCTCTCCGATCTCCGCCCCCTTCTTTCCCTCTGCAAGGCGGGGTACGGTGCCAGTCAAATCAACGTCTAATTTCACAACGGAGGCCGAAAAATAAAGAGCGAGAAGAGAAAAGAAGAGAAAGCAAGGGCCTTCTCGGCGTCTCCGTCGTTTACTCCTCCGTTCTCTTGGATTCTAACATCGAGCGACGAATGCGGGATTCTCTCGAAGATCGTCCTGCGTACGACCACCGCTATCATCATCCTCCCTCTTCTCTTCTCTTCTCCTCTCTTTTGAACTTCCATTACGTGAGTATCTATGTATGAATGTATGAATGTATGAATGTATGTATGTATTTACGTCTGTACACGTTCTGGATTGAGTGCTCATGGTTTTTCGGGTGATTCAACCTTGTATGAATGAGATCTTCAAGCTCTCTGGCGGGCAGATGTCGAGCATAGAATCGAGGCCAGTCCACGTACATGCACACCTACGGTCTGTATGTTTGACTTCGGCGTATACACACTTGGAGAGAGAGAGAGAGAGAGAGAGAGAGAGAGATAAGTAGCGCAACCTAGAAGCCTAAAAGAAGCTTGTTCTAACGATTCCTTCGAGAGACTAGTATACGCCAAAGGACATGTCTCTCATGCTGTCGAGGTCAATGTGGCCGCAAAGGGCTCATTAAAACATGATCAATGAGTAGAATGACAAGCATCCGCTTGTTAATAAGCACGGGCAGATGACTCTATTTTCGATAGGCTATTCTCATGCCACATCTCCCTTGTACACCGTGAGCGGAAAATGATGGATCTGGGTATAGCCATTAAATGATTCATACCTTATTAGGAAAAGTTGGCTCGTACCACACACGGCTGGGCTCTGCATCGAGATAGTTTCTGCCGTTTTCTCAACATTCCGGATTATGACTAGGTCATCAGACTATACGCTTAAGAAAATAGGTTCGCAGTGTTACCAATCACTCATGTGCCTCAATGAATGGAACATACAGGTAAGAATACGCATGATCTACGTATTGTTCTGATTGGGTTTGTGTCTATATCGTCTAAACGTGATCACTAAACTCATCGGCATGAATCTGAGAACTTTATGGGACATTATTTTACGGTAGAGACAGAGCGACCGTGCGTGAGTGGAAGAAAGAGGGTGAGAAGGGAGGGGTGAGAGAGCGTATGTGAGATGGAGAAAGAGGGTGAGAGAGCTAGAGAGAGAGAAAACCGATTGTTTTAAAACCGCAAATGGCTGGCTTCACACGAATGGGTTGTCTCAAAACCACATCCGACTCCAATATAATTCGTCTACCACCATTACCGTTAAAACGATTCTTGGAGTAGTTAAGATTCCATGAAACTTTACATTTCCTCGAACCTGTAAGAAAATACGCAAATAATCAGGAGTCGACGCCCAGGAAGCATGGAATTCTTTTAGGACACGGTCGGTTTTGAACGATCAGTCCAAGATGATCCCCAACTAAGCGTGCAGAGGGTAGTTGCCCACATTGATCGTCAAAGGTAGAGAAGCACCAGATCCCGCCGAAGTCTAACCTTTTCATCGCCAACATGCAATTCATTGCAAAGAGTATTTCATTATGTAGAGCATTCAAGTAAGAAACCAGTACGAATGTTGATTTCGTCTTGTTGTACCTCAACTATGGTCCGTCCACATTAATTTTATAGTCTTCTCTTACTTACAGTACGTCTGCTTAGATTTTGCGCCGTCTCTTTCAATTTCGCTTCTTCTTGCTCTCCGCTCTTAGGCGCCGCCATGCTTTCACCAGGGTCATTTAGAAGGTATGGAATCCTGATAAATATACTAAAATCTATCTCAAGAGAAGAAGGGGGACAGGAATTCCCCCGTTTTCTGAGAAGAAATCCTCTTTTCTCCCTAGGAAATGGCACTAGAAGGGAGCCTCTGACGAGAGGCCTCAAAGAAGACCTTCGATGGTACATTGGAAGACATTGTTGTTTCTGTAGATGGGGAGAGAGAGAGGGAGAGAGAGAGAGAGAGAGAGAGAGAGAGAGAGAGAGGAGAGAGGGAGAAAGTAAGTGAGGGAGGGAGAGACAGAGAGGGGAGAGAGAGAGATAGAGAGAGAGAGAGGGGGAGGGGGAGGGAGAGAGAGATAGAGAGAGAGTGAGAGAGAGAGAGTGAGCGAGTGAGAGAGAGAGAGAGGGAGAGAGTAAGTGAGGGAGGGTGAGAGAGAGAGGGGAGAGAGAGAAAGAGGGAGAGAGAGAGAGATAAGGAGAGAGATAGAGAGAGAGGGAGAGAGAGAGAGATAAGGAGAGAGATAGAGAGAGAGGGAGAGAGAGAGAGATAAGGAGAGAGATACAGAGAGAGGGAGAGAGAGAGATAAGGAGAGAGATAGAGAGAGAGAAGGAGAGAGAGAGAGAGAGAGATAGAGAGAGAGAGAGGGAGAGAGAGAGAGATAAGAGAGATAGAGAGAGGGAGAGGGAGAGAGAGAGAGAGAGAGAGAGAGAGAGAGGATAAGGTTGTGGTGGCCAAGGGTCAGCTTCTTGGATGTCTTCTGAAACGCCACTCTACAACACAGGCAACAAATCTAACTCTGGAGAAAACCCAAAATTTTGCTAGAGGATCAGATCCCAAGGGAAGGAAGCAAAATAGAAGCGGATGGAAGGAAAAAGTCAACCATATAATCCCCCTGGAGTTGCTGCAACCCTTCCATGATCGAGCAGGACCGGTCATGATTCCAAGCTATGCAACCTTCCGAAGCACCCTTTTGTTACTTTTGTGGATGTTGCAAAGGGAAGCAAAGATGATGAAAACACCGAAGTTCTCGCATCTACTTGCATCGATGGGGTGGTTTTTGACATATTTCACCTGGGAAATGGAAAAAGGGTCTTTATTTCCAGAATGGTCACTGATAGCGACGACCGGTATAATTCTGCCTTCCCTCATCGTCATTTCCATCACCATCATTCGTTTCACCACATTAGAATATGCATCAAGCAGCTGTTGCTACCACATGAGCTATGAGGAGCATAGAGGGGATTTTAGACCATTGACGAGGGACTCAAGCAAGTCTCCTGTCATCGGAGATATTCACTCACGAGCGTACTGTAACCGTCATAACCCCAAGGAGCAACGTTGATGTTTGATCATAATAATATCATCAACGTTATCAAGGGTCATAGGGGTAGCAGCAGCAGCAGCAGACGAAAAACTAAGATACTTACCAAAGGAAAACGACGACAGCGAGAACAGCAGGTGCAAACCAAGATTCAATCAACATACACAGGAAATTTATGAAAAAACAGAGAGGGAGAGAGGGAGGGAAGAGAGAAGGGGGTGTGGGAGTGGAGGGAACGAAAGATAGCCGTATCCGCAATATCACATGCATCTCCTCATTGGAGTCAACAGAGAGGAAATGGGGAATTATGGAGGATCTAGAGAGCAACAATAGCAGCAGCATAAATAATAGCCGTAGTACTAGGATAATACTAACATAAGTGGAAAGCAAGGTCAAGTGCTCTTCCTGAAGACGAAGATTCCATCGTCTCCGAGTTTAGCTTGCACCGGCGGATGAGGTGTGTGGCGGATGGCCCTGATTCCCGACGCCTTGAGAAGGCTTCTTCCGTTTCTTCTTCTCGTAGCTGATGCCCCTTGCCTTTGCTTGAAGCTCGCGGACCTCCCTGAGGTAGAGCCGAACGGCCCGGGTGCCGAAGGGGTTGGCTTCCGGCTTTCCGCCATTCTCCTCGTAGGCCGCCCGGAGACGGCCGATGAGTGCGTCTAGGCTTCCCCAGGCCTGCCGGAGAGGGCACGGGCAGGGGGCGGGAGGGTTAGGGTGGCCGAAGAAGGGGCACATCTGTGTGTGGACCTTTGTCTTCCCGAACTGGTCCAGGTACCGCAGGAATTCCAGCACGTGCGCGCCGCTGCACCGCGACAGTGACAGCGGCGGCCGGTGGTTCTTGAGGTACTGCCCGAAGGTATTCCAGTCCCTCCTCTTCTGTGCCTCGTACCGACTGGGCGACGGCGTCGAGGTCGAGGAAGAGGAGGCCACCCCGACACCACCGAGGACAGCCGAAGAGGAGGTGTTGAGGCCAGCGGCTTCCGACGAGGGGCTGTCCACGTTGGTATCCATATTCTTTTCTGCTCTCCTCTCTCTCTCTCTCTCTCTCTCTCTCTCAATCTATCTTCCGCTCCAGAGTTCAGATAATATTTGGGGGTCGCTGTAGAAGCAGCACCAGCAGCAGTGTAAATAATTCCTGCCTTGGTGATAAATATTGCAGTTCTCTCTGAAGGAAGATGCAAAAATGGTTAGGAAGTTGAGGGCACAAATTATCTTATGGCAACTATTTAGGAAGCAGCCGAAGAGGGTTCCCCTCTTTCTTTGCGACCCTGCTCCTCCTCCCCCTTGCCTGTTTCTCTTGTCATCAATGGCCGTCGGGAGGGAGAAGAGGCTCCAAGAAATAGGGGAATCAGGAGCTTGATCCAAGCCAAACGAAATGATCGGAGATGGGAAATGTATTTCTGTCAACAATTTGATGTACAAACCTAGCTGTTATTCTTTACTTCGTCGTTCGCTGCTCTGGGGGATGGAGGAGATTCTGATGGGTGACGATGAGACGCCAAGGATCTTCTGGATGATGCTGATGCTTCTCAGGATCAGACTGCCAAAGAACCTGCAGTCATGCCAGAGAGAAATGGCTTACATAAATAATAATAGATCAGTAACTGATGCAGACAAGCGGTCAGATAAATACGTTGACGGATAGAAGGATTGATAGATAGATCGACAGATAGTTAGGGAGAGAGAAATAGAGCGAAGAAGAGCAGAGGTCAAAGGTGCTCGAAAGAAGATTCCGCAGCGGAGGCGTGAGATGGCGTAGAGAAAACCTTGGAAGGCCCAGGCTGACGGGCACCGGTGAGGACTTGGAAGGCCCTGAATCCGCTGGATTTCACGCTTTCTCTCGCAAGTGAACTCAGAGGATGGTGGCTTTGAGGAGGGGACGGCGACGCCGGAACTTCTAGTTTTATCTGTAGAGGGGAGGTTGGAGAGAGCACCGCTAGGGCTTTTGTGGAACTGGAAAGAAGGTGACAGTAGCCGTCTGGCGCGGGGGAGTGCGGGGAGAAGGCGTTTGACGATGACGACAGGAAAGGATTCTACATCGCAAACTGTTGTGAAAATATATATATATACTTTAGAATTCCCCGATTTTGATCGATTTTCTAAGCTTTGAAAAATCCCGAAATTGATCCATTCAATAGATTTTACTCTCTCGTCCTCCTTCCATGAGATCTGGTTCAATCTGGGTTACTGTAACGCCTAGAGAGACATTTGCAATTTCCTTAGCTGCTCATAAGGATATATATATATATATATATATATATATATATATATATATATATATATATATCTGTATCTTCTTTCTTTTTCCCCTCTTAGCCAGGAGGCTCCGGGAATACGTATCAACCTTTCTTTCCCTCAAATGGGAACAATGCCCTCGCAGAGACGTGCTGGCCTATGTAATAATTCAAGTTTGGCCGGCCGAGGTTCAGTTCGCTGCCTGGCATTCATGTCTGTATATTGTCCAAAATGGTCGGAGAATATAATAAACTCTAGAAGATATTAAGGAAAACCAGAAGAATAGAACCTATGGATCCCCAAAGCCGGGTGGACTGTTCTTGCTGATGCTTCTCCATCACCAATGACATGCAGCAATTTCTTCTTATTTTTTGACAAAAAATCCATGTATTCCTAGTGCTATGGGGCCTCCGGAATTGTAAATCGTCAGATTAGTCGGTTGATCCGTACACTCGATAAAATTATGTAAACCCAGTCAACATAGACCCTCATCTTCATACATTTGAATCCAGTTACCTATGTTTTGTTCTCCGTCTCCGTTCTCTCTCTCTCTCTCCCCGTGTCAAAGTTATTCTCTCAAACACTGTTTTTCTCACGCTATCCGCCTGGTTGGAAGGAAGGGCTCAGGCTGTTGAGAAAAACAGTCTTATCTATTAGATGAATGCTATCTATGACAACAGATGAATGCTAAATCCGATGAAATTTATTGTGGGAACTTAATGGGACAAAGTGTATAGGATAAAGAGTAGCAAAGATCCAAACATTAGGTATCTGGTTTCCAAATGAAACACCGAAGCTCAAATATAATCAAAAAAATTAGAGTTGATATGCACAACAGGCTAAGTAAATGAGCTAAAAATTTCGAGGATATTCTATATTTTCCTACCTAAGCAAGGGAAAATAGTAGCAACCGGTTTACGCCGCAACTGGTGGCACAGATCATAGATGCCATCTCATTCATGACGAATCCGTATGATCAGCAAGGCTTTAAGGCTTAGCCGCGAGAGATGTGCCCAATAACTAGACAGATGTGGAAGAAACAATCTTGATCTCCCTTAGCACAGTCACAGAAGCAATGCCAGAGAGCGGGGTCATCCATGATAGGCAACTACACACGTCAATAGTCGTTTGGTCGGACCGAAGGGCTTTCAGTGTGGGCCCTCATGACGCGGTTAGAGGGCACTAGTATACTTCTCGGATCAGGCAAGTCTTGCCCTCACGAACAGTTCGGCGAAGAGGAAAATTATTTTGAACCTCTTCTCCCTTGAATCGAGGCAATACAAAGACGAGGATGCCTTCGGTGAACCCATATGTTTATATGTTCATATTCCTTGGAATTAAAGTACATATCAGAGGGTTGTCTCTGCATTTATAAACATAGGAAAGACCGTGTAAAGAACCGGACAGCGTACCACAGGAAAATGCTAAGGCCAATCGGTGGGGCGTGGCATCCTATAGCTTTCTGGAGCGAGAATAACTTCTTCATCTCGTTTTCCTCCAGATATTCACGTTTACCCGGGAAAAATAACGTATCGGTACATCACCCAAGCCTCGTAATCTTTGAACGTGGGGGTGGAGATGTTTGAGAACCTAGGCAGATGAAAATTTTCCCGGCAATACCAGGAGTTTTGGCTTTACCCACCATCTCACGGTTCCTGACCAATTGTTTTTGTATAAGATAGTAGATCAACATATATATCTCGGAATAGAATTGAGGAATTCCGCTCAATTAGCTAAGGAGAGTCGTAAGGATCGTTGTCTGAATTGCTAGGTCCAGAGACAAAACCGGCGAGAGAGAGAGAGAGAGGTACCGACTCTAGTGTACATTAAGCTCAGATTATTGACTCTCTGGATCTCTGAATCACTCGACCTTGATTATGGTAAATTGGTCTGTCGAAGCGAAATACGGAGATGTGGTACAGTATTTGGTGTTGTACACTTCATGTAGACGAGGGGAATAACTCATTTTTTGATCTCAAGTGAGAGATGGCGACCCATGCGAACATGTCCCCTTTCTTTTTTAACTGTATTTTGTTTGTGGATATCCGTGCATGTATAGAATCTGATCACAGAGCCTCTGTGCTCGTAATACGCCAAAAACAGCCTTCCTGTCTGAACTAGATGGCTCTTTTCTCCTAGCATAGTCTGTTCTCTCGCTCATAGTTCCACTGCATAAATAATTCTAAAACTTGGCCGTTAGGAAAGAATGTATGCAAATTGTTAGTACCCCAAATGCCTCGAATGAAACTGAAAGATACATAGGATCTATGCCGCTGAATTTTGGAGCCAAAAAGTAGTTAGGTCTTCGCGGGATGATTTGATGCTTCAGCCAGGTTTCCTATTTGAGAGCTAGTCAGAATTAAGACCTATTATCTGCTGTGCGGCGCCGTCTGGGAGATGGGAGTATAAAGGGAAATTATGTGGGCAGCGGGAGAAGCTCAGTTCGAGCTTGGTCTCAGACCCCGCGCACGGAAGAACCTACTTGGCTCACTGTTTCTGCTTCCGGCGGGGAGGAATCGGAGGTCACTGTTGTGTGAGATGTCTCCTTTGTTTGGAAAGATATGCGGTGGGCGGGCGGATACTTTGAGAAATTATCTACCTTATTCTAATCTTATTCATGGACAGCAGGAGCCGCACCCAATCTGAAACATTGACATCCGTTTATCGCAACATTTTCAAGAATAGACCCGTTGATAGGTACTCATTTTGTTCATAGCTGGATGGATGTGGGAGAGAGAGAGAGAGAGAGAGAGTAAAAAACGTCACATGGAAACGGTAGAATCCGATGCATAGCTAACTTCCAAACGCACTCACCCACCCTACATCATAGCCATTACATTTATTGGACATAGGACGGTCTTGTTGGACCCATTGATCTCAGCAAATAGGTAAGGAAGGGGAGGTTGTGAAGCAAATAGTGTAGACAGGTGAGAGAGCGAGAGGAAAACAAGGTTTCTGATCATGGAAGCAAACGTACATGGACCATCGGACAACTGACATTTAATCCTCATCTGAAACTGAAATTTCATGGCTCTCAGAACTTAGCTATTCACAGAATTTACTAATCTTCCGGCTTTAAGGCTGAGGAGGAAGGCAGTCGACGACAAATAGTCAACAAATTGAAGGCGTATGGGAAAGAGGAGAATCCGTTCGAGAAGAAATGATGAAGAGGACTTCTTTCTGAGGTGAATAAATAAGCTCAGGTGCGACTTTGGTTTTCTTGCCTTTGCACGGTGGTGTCGTGCTTGTGATGGCAATTATACCATCAGTTTACACCACTGTCCACCCGTTCCAGCCGCCTTATCTAAATCATACTGTTTAAAGATGCTTTATTATCGTGCATGACTCAAAGCTGACGAAACCAAATGGGGCGGCGGGTAATGCCTCTATTATGTATTACCTCCTTTGAGTTGGTGAAAGGAATAGGTGGTGACCGGGGGGGGTTTAAGCGCAGCATCCATCAAATAGATGGGAGCTGATCTCAAAGAAGATGCTGGAAGATCTGAGTTCTCTCTCTCTCTCTCGCGCGCGCGCGCAAGCAGAGAAGTTTCAGGTAATAAAGTAGAAATATCACATAAAATCGCGATAGCATTGGGAAGGATGCACTGGGAATTCCCTTTAAAACTGTGCAATCATAATAGTAATAGTCATTGAATCATGCGCTTCCTTCCAAATTTGGCGTCTAACATTAGACTCTGCAATTTAGATAACATCCAAGCTAGTCTAAATGCTGAAATCCAACTGATAGTTACAAAATTAGTTGGATATCTTCAATA